GGGCACGCCGGTGCCGGGGCGCCGCCGCGGCTCCTCCACGGCCCCCAGGGCGGCCAGGCGGAGAGGCAGGGGGCTGACGTTCCCCAGGTGGTGCCAGGCAGCCTCGAGCCATTGCTGGCAGGCTTGCAGCAGCAAGTCCAGAACGTGCACCAGAAGGTGCAGGGCGAGCCGTGGCTCCATGTTGCCACCTGCGGCAGTCCCCCCCGAAGGGAAGCACCGACACAGACGGGCACAGAGACCGACGCTTTGCTGTCCCTCGGCGAGGTTGGCAAGCAAGCAGGAAAAGCTGAGAACCGGCTGTCCGGGGGGGGTCCCTTTAAGCACGAGCCTCAGATAGCCTCAGACAGCAGCCACACAAAGCAACTGCTGACCTGATGCCCTGCCAGAACCGGTTTCAGCTGCCCTTAAATGCCCCCCTGCGTCCAATCAGTGTGGACGCGCTAGTTCGAACTAGCAAAACGCTAGTTCGAACTAGTTTTTAGTTCTAGATGCGCTAGTTCGAACTAGCTTAGTTCGAATTAACTAATTCGAACTAAGTTAGTTCGAACTAGCGCTGTAGTGTAGACGTACCCTCTGAGAGTCTTTTCATTGGTTTCATTTGTCTTTGGATTAGACCGTATATTTCCACCTGGCCCACCTCCAGGAGGATGAAAGATAAGAATTGTAAGTTGACCTGTGCCTGATTGCTAGTGCCTCCTGGTGGTACCCTGCGGTGGTACAATTTACGTGTCTCCCCTTTCTCAGGGCAGGGTCTAAAGTCACAATCATTCTCAACAGCTAGATTGAAATCTGCCTGTGTAATCTTCAGTGATACCTGCTCCTATTCTGACATGTTGCAACAATCAGTAAAAGTGACCCACTTTGAATTCATGAAGGATCTCCATTTCAGACATAATTTCCTTCCTCTGTGTCAATAATTGTAACAAATATCAAATAATGTTCAATGTCAGTTTTAAAAAAACCAAGTAAATGATGCAACATTTTTATTGCCTTTTTAATCTCTCAAATCAAAAGGTTTACAGCATGGCATTCTAGAAATATACAGCTTATGAAAGCACTAGCCTATTAAAATATGTTTTATGATAATGCCTTGGATAAGTTATAGTTACACTAGTAATACAATTCATGTCTATACAGATGCTAAGACAAAATCATTGTTAACATGTTTTGTCATAATCATGGCACCTGCTAACTCTGCTATGGCACATTTAGGGGTTAGTCAAGATTTCTTTTGTAAACAATATTTTCAAGGATTTGTAATTGAGCCATAAACATTGACTTGGGGGTGAAAGTTAGCATGTAGGGTCTTAAAATACTGTTGAAAAATATTCAACTATTTTGACGTTTTTGGATTTTAAAAAGACGTTTACTAGATTTAATTTATGCTTCTTTTTGCTCTTCTAGGACTCAAAAATGGATTGCTTTGTTCTTATATGTTGAGTGAATTTAGACTTGGTGCAATTTGCAGCTCCAGAGATTGAAATCATCTAGCTTTCAGTAAATAATAAATAATAAAAAAACATATTCAACAGAAAAAATACAGAAGAGACAGCAGTGATATCAGTTTCCACACATGCCTGGCTAACATTCCTTAATTCTGACTACATCGGAAAGTGAGACAGGAGTTCGTTCTTCTTTTATGTCCTGTTGAGACTGTTGTTAAGGATGCCAACTATGCTGGGTCTTATTATGAGCTCTTGGAAGATGGACTGGAACCACCCATTCTTTGAATTTAAGGCATTCCAAACAACCAATTAGATGGTAATCACTTCCAGTCATTACTCACTGGACTGGATTGAAATTGGAATCCTGGAGGAGAAAGACCCCTTTCCAAAGTTGAGCCATCCATTCTTTTGGGTCCTCTTTCACTTAGATTTTCAAAAACTGGTTTCCTAAAATTAGGCTGCCAACTCCATGTTTAGGCACAGCGACATTTTGGTGATCATCCAGACTGGTAAGAAGGTTGTGTCACCACCTGCCTCATATCCTTGGAGGCCTTTATGCAAGACAACTGTGGTCCAGATCTCTGCCCACAAGCACAGTCTCACCCTGGCTTCCGCCAGCCTAATTATTCTTTTTAGGGTGATATCAACAGTCCTTCCAGTCCCAAGTCTCCTCAAATTTGTGCTCTGAGTTCTTACCTACTAGACACTAGCACTTTTCCCCTTGGATTCATTGCCCCCAAAGACATGAAACCAGCCCCACCGCTGTCAGTTCTCTTTCACACTCTCTCTCTCTCTCTCTCTCTCTCTCTCTCTCTCTCCACACACCCTACCCAGTTTGCACACCACACCACATATCTGTTTGGGTAAACATTTTTTAAAAGGTTACCTAATAGAAAAAACACATGTTCAAAGATGAAACAGGGAAAGCAAACATACAAGTTACAGAGAAAACAAACACAAAGACAGAACTGAAGTCTATACACTTCTATATTAGAAAAAAATCCCTTTTCTTATACAGGTTGAATCTTTCTAGTCTGGCACCCTTGAGATCTAACTGGTGTCGAATCAAAGAATTTGCCAGACCACGGGAAGTCAATCTTGTGTAGCAGTATAACCAACACTTCTACTGCTTACTGGGTTTTTAGAAGACATTTAGAGCTAAATAACAGCACAGAGCCCCAGAGAACTAGTATCTGTAAACAAACTTTATGGGATTGTGGGAAATTTGGCCATACCCATGATAAATGAACATCTGGCTAACTAAAATCATGCTGGACCACGGATGTTGCCGGACTAGAGAGGTTCAACCTATACAAGCTATCTATTGCCTTCAAACAGTTTCCCAGCAATCTTCCTAGCTATAAAACAAAGGGACCATAAGCCCTGCTTTCACATTGTTAAAAAGTACTAAGTAAAAATAAAAAGGGCTCCTAATGTTATCAGGCTAATCAAGTTTTACTACTTTTCCTTAATGCCCTTATAGAAACCATTACCTATTAAATACTTCAAGTAACGAGATGAGAAGTAGCCTTTTGATTAAAATAGATTGTTTAAACTTTTTTTTAACCAAGACCATTTTTATAATTAAAACCTTCTTCAATTTTAAACACTAACGAGCCGAAAACACAAATTTGGAACCCTGTGGCCTGACTCTCTTCTCTTTTACATGGCAAAAATCAGAAGTAACTCTGCCAATGGAAATGGAATTTAACAGAAATAGATATATTGAAAGGGAAAAAGTGCTGCTCAAAGTTGAACTGGGCATTTACTTGTGCCTTAAATCCTTCTTGCCTGACTTTTATGAGAAAACCCATGGAAATGAATGGAACTGGTTCTCTTTACACTAAGGCCCTTTTCCACCCTTCTTCATATGGGAGTAAATTAAAATCAAGTCTATATCTGCTATCCGCTTTTGTGCCTGAATCTGCTTCTGTTTACCTCAACAGCACAAGTCCCATGGAATCCTATGACAGCAGAATGTGAGTCTTTGCATTAAGGGGCTTTTTGGAATCTGCATCTCATGCACTTGATTATTATTCTAGTTTGGGGTAGATGTGTGCATGATTCTGTATAAATGCTAATGCTTATTCTCTTGTTTTGCATGGAAAGATCTCTGGACTACATCACTTTTCTTCATATTTTCTCCCCCCTCTGCTATTATAAATTGTTATATACCTGAGAAAGGTCATGGTTTTACCTCTTTCGATACTTACCTCTCTGGTCTGTCAGTCTTGATACTCTTAAGATAAATCAGTATCTGCTTATTGTTTAATTCCGTGAGTGCAAAGTTCATTCCAATACCCAGTGCTTGAGCAAAACCCCACACACCACTTAAAACTTCAATTTCAGTCTCTCCTTGTCACTTGGGTGAATTTCACCCTAATTGTACACTTTAACTCAGTAAAGACTTTGTATCAAAGATGCTGTAGAAAATAAAAGTTGCATTGAACTGTAACGATAGTAGTTCTGCTTTTAGATTTCTATCCAGGTAACTGTCAGTATACCAGTTTGCTTTCTCCCTTCCAGGCTGTATCTCCTCCCTGAGGTAGTTCTTGAGGAAATAGCCATTTTCAAATCATATAATTATCATGTGGCATACACCTTTTTATTCCCCTTGAAACATTGTGTCATGTTTTTGGTTGACGTCACTTGTTGGAAAACACTCCAAAGAACTGAAATACTATTACATTGTTACTGTATTGGATGCCAACATACAGGGCTATTAGTTTAATTCATCCTTCAGATCAAAGCCCACACAGGCAGCTCTTCTGCCTACAGCTATTTTCCTTTTACTTTCCTGCTTGACAGTGGTCCCTCCGATTCCTCTGTTCTGCTCCCTTTGAATGTACACATTTTCCCTTAGTCGTGGAAATATAATTTATGTCTATTATACTGTATTATAGATTACAGATCAGGGCCAGCATGTGTTATTGGCTGGCATGTCTGTGTATTGTATGTTGGGTTCTAAAAATAAATAAATAAAAAGCCACCCTGCTGAGCAGAGAAGAGAGGGAGAAGAAAAAATCAGGGGCGGGGAGAAACTCTGTTCTCAAAGTTTAATTTACAAGAACAAACCTTGGAGCATGATTTATTAACATCATGGTGTTTGCTTTTGTCACATTGTGTATGTAAAGATGGCAAAACGGCTGGCCCCTCTCCAGCACAGACCACCCAGAGAGCCGAAGCTAAGCTACTGGCTGTACACACCCAAGTTCAAAGGTTCATGGGAGAACTCACCAATTTAATCAGTTATTAGCTGCCTTTCCTATAAGCAGATTGGATGCAAAAACACCACCGACCAAAGGAATATCCTCACAGACTGGCTGTCTGGGACTCAAGAATTACAAAAACAATCTCCACCCCAACACTGAGGAAGTGTGTGTGTATGTGTGTGGTGAGAGAGAGAATGAGACAGAGGGGAGGGAAAAAGGGAGGAGGGAGCCCAGGCACAGAGAAAGAGAAACATCACTCCATCTCTCTCACTCCGCAGGAGCTGAACCAAAAGCAGGAAGATGTTTGATAACACACAGTACCCCTATAACTGTTTTAATTATGATGGGGATGACTATCCAACCTGTAGTTCTGATGAAGAGAAAAAATTCACCAGACCAGCATACAGGTAAGATTAAGTTTTCAAAGTCTTCCTTTCTCCTGGGAGATTGTCTGCACTGTCAGATAATGGATTGGGAATCCTCTCCTCCTCTAATAACCAGCACAGGCATCCTTGCGGGTGATTTCTTCAAGGCACAGAAATCTTGGGTTGTGGGCGGGGGTGTCTTTTTTTTCCGCTCGAGGAAATCTCTTTTCTCCCCTTCTTTCCTCACTTCTTCACTTTAGGGAAAGTGTATTATCTGCCTTTAATGTCCTGGAGTCCTTTGTGTCATCAGACCTCTATTGTCCTCTTCTGCACTTTTAAGGACACAGAGGAAAATTAATCAAATTTGTGAGATGCTCATTAAGGAAATAAATGTGTCTGCTCCTCCTCTCCCCCACTGGAATAAAGATGCAGAATATGAGTTCAGGAGTCAGTCTGGAGAAAGATACCATCCAGTGACCCTCTAATTAGCCACAGTGATGAGCTCACCAGCCCTGAAGTTATGAGAGCCAGTTAAGTGATGGAGTCCCACAGTCTGGTACATTGCATGGGAGCCTAATGGTTCAGGGAAGCTTTCCTTGAGCGATTTGAGATTTTGGTGTGGTTTTTGTTTTGTTTTTTAATCTAAGCTTTGCCTGCCGAGTGGAAGGACAAGCAGACAGATTGGGTTTCAATTGTCTGTAAGTAATGCCTGTGTATCATGCTGTATCAATCAATGAGAGTTAAACAGAGTTCTTGCTCTTAGACAAAAGCAAAAGGACTCTGAGCAAACTGCTTGATGTCTCTAAGAGCCATCTCAGGTCAAGGAGTAACACAACCAAAATGTAGGACAAGGAGGAATGTTATAATTCTATAAGAATTATATTTGCACATATGTATGAGTGAGTGAGAGAGCGATCCTAGTTATAAAATACACACATACAAGACAATGGCATAACACAGAGTTTTCCTTTTTCAGCTACATCGCCTTAATTGCAATGGCCATCCAGCAAAGTCCTTCAAACAAAGTAACCTTGTCAGGCATTTATGATTTTATAATGAAGAAATTTCCTTACTACAGATCAAATCAAAGAGCCTGGCAGAACTCCATCCGACATAACTTATCACTGAACAGTTGTTTTGTAAAGGTAAGAGCAAGAACTGGGTATTTTCAATTAAGTGCAACTAAAAATATCTCAGTGCAGGAATAGTCTCCCAAAGCAATGTTAGAAAAGAGGGGAAGCTACAAATAATTTTAAATCTCTTTGCAGACTACAAGTTGTCACTTGAGAAAGTAATGGGTATGTTCTTTTCTGATGTATGTTAATTTACAGCAAATTGAAGAGGCTGGGTTTTGCCTACAAGTAATGTAATGAAAGAGAATAGGCTTAAATGGCTTGTCATGTATGTTTACACCACTCTTGAATGTAAATGAACCCAGATGTTAAGCAGCTGCATCTGTAACACATACAAACACTGAACTGCCTTTAAATGAATACAGGTTCCCAGAACAGAAGGGAATGAGAAGGGAAAAGGAAACTATTGGAGCTTTGCATCTGGATGTGAATCCATGCTGGACCTTTTTGAAAATGGGAATTACAGGCGGAGACGGAGAAGAAGGAACATGAAAAGGGAACACACAGAGCAGAGACCAAATGAAGGGAAAGATCCTTCCTCCCCTGACTCATCTTCCATGGATTCTGGTTTATACAGCATCTCCTGTCATGAAAGGAAATGCGAGCCAACCGAATCTGGACCCAGACTCCTGGAGCCTCATGGGTTCTTTCCAAACAACACCTCCAACAGACACAGTCTAAACAACTCCTCCCTAGGAAAATCTGACTCTGAAATTAAATTTAGCATCGATTACATTCTTTCAGCCCCAGATCCTTTGCCTGTTCTGAGATCTCAGTTTAATATGCAAAATAATAAATACCAATTCATGGAGTCCCAAAAATTAAATCTCCAGCTCTGGACAATGTGATATTATTCATACCTGGTAACAAATTCTGTGATACAGTCTATACAACAGCCTGGTATCACTGAGTAACATCAGTTGGCTGTCTTTTTCCATGTAGTACTCAGAAAGGGTGACGAGTAACTTGATCAGCCAGCTGAGAAGCTATTTATACCACAAGAACTTATTTTCTGAGGTTATAGTCCATGCAATCATTATAAAATCTAACTAGTAACACTGTTGATGATCTTGACATCTTGTGCAACTGCAGTTTTATTTTCTAAAGTATCACTGGCATGTATCTGCATTGCATGGATTATCCTCTCATTTAAATCAACCTACTTTCAGTTTGTTTCTATCACCTTGTACTTTATTAGCGACAAGGGAGATGTGACTTCACTTGCACTGGTGTAAATCTGGCCACTATATAGGCCAGACCTTCTGCTGTTGTAAATCCAGTGTGGCTCCATGGATCACACCAGCTGAGAATCTAGTGGGTTTCTTTCTTAAATTGGGTTAAGAAAACCGCTTATTTCATCTTGTTTATTTATTTATTATTTTTTGTTGCTACATTCAGTATTATGGCTCAGATTATTTGGGTAGTGTGTAGCAGAGGTCAGTCACTATGTTCTCTGATAAATATGGGTATTCATTGCATGATTATAAGAATTTGTTGTTTCAAATCCACAGCCATTGGAAGTGACCTAGTATTCCAATTCATTTCATGAAAGGTATTATTGCAGGGTTTGCTGAACTCTGATACACTTTGATGGTGAATATGACAGAGACTAGTAGACTCACAATATCTTTAGTTAAAACTATTTTCCCCTTGCTCTTTCAGAAATTTCCTGTGATGTAAGAAAGCCCTAGCACATATTTACTTAGCATAAAGAAAGGTTCAACCCTGCAAGGAACTGTATTCATTGACAAAATGTGGGACAAAATAAGGTCTCCTTACCTGCTTTGAGACAAGTTATACTTTCCTATTAAGTGGATTTTTATTGATTCTTCCTGCAAGCAATCACCAAAGTGGTATTTGATACAATCTCAGCAAAACTGGTGAGATTTATATAATTTAGAGACATTGACGTTAAGATCATGTGCTCCATTTAACATTATAGTAGCCTGATTATCCTATACAGTCTAAAAGGGTATTTTACAAAAATTACAAGTATGTACAATATGACCAACATATGCTTTTTTTCAAGCACATTTTGCATAATTAATTATTTTCCATTCCCTAACAATGGATTCAACAGAACCCTTATTTGTGGCCTGACTTAACCATGCAAACAAACAAAAAAACCAAGATACTAGTTGGTGTTATAGGAAATTATATAAAGTAAGGACAAAAGTCTGTCTTAACATAAATTCAAAGGTAAATGAAAACAGCTGAGATGATAAGATTACGCAAAATTGTGCAAAAGGTACGCTCAGACATGACTTGAATTTTTATCCAGAAGCTTTGACATTTCACTAACTTATTTTACATTGTTGCTAATATATACTGTACATTTATACTATATATTCTTATAGAAAAAAGGGAGCAATGTAACTGCACTTAATGTTGTAAAAATGCATGATGTACATCTTCTTGGTGTTAAAAGTATTGCTATGTATCTACAATTTACCAGCAATAGTATTTCTCACAAATGGGTAATAAATTTACTTGTTTTCAACAATATAACACTTGAAATCCCTAGGCATTTTCATAACAAACAAAAACCCCACGATATTAGTAAGTGTTACAGGCAATTATATAAAGTAAGGATAAAAGTCTTTCTTAGTATCCAAATTCCAGGTAAACAAAGGCAATTGAGATAAGATTATACAAAACTGGGTATAATTACAATTATGTACAATAATAATATATGACCAATACATAGCGATTTTTTTCAAACACATAGCTTGAACGCAGCTAAATACTTCTTTAAATGAGAAAATGGCAAAATATGTAGAAGTTACATCGCAGTACGCCATCCAGAAATTCAAAGACCAAATTCTGCCTTCAGATGGAAGCATGTCAATCATTTTGAATCAATGGATATTCTGTACAGCTCTCTGAAGGCAGATTCATCTCTCCTTTACACTAATGTAAAAACAGAATAAAGCTACTGCAGCCAGTTGGCATGGATTCCCATCTCCGTAAGAGAGAACAGAATTTACTCCTGAATATAGGCAGGCATGCAAAGACATATCTGTACTTGGAATCTTTATGTATGCACTCAGTTATGTGTGTGTGCACCTCTATGTTTATACATACATTTATGTATTATTGCTTTATATGCAAAACTTTTTTTCTTAATAATTTTGAACAGGGTGACAATGCTGTTTAATTTGTAGTGACAGTAAATCTATACAGTATATTTGAAATATATTTTTCTGCTGCTCAATGCACAAACATGCTTCTTGCTATGGATTCTTTGTTACATGGTGACATTTTTAAGAACAGATCATTAAATTGCAGCAAAGATTGAGCCCAATCCTGGCTCCTACTGCATACAAGGGGATATTTGTCATTGCTTCCAATGAAGGCAGGATCAAACTTACTGAGTAACATTTGGATAAATGTATTGAAAAATGCAGAGAACAGAAATGTAAATATAAAGATTTACATTAGTGATCTAAAGCCATTACCAGTAAGTTGAATTAATATGCACAAATAGCCCTTTCCTTTGCTTACAGCAAGGAGCCTGCTAAGAAAGACAGATATATTTCAGTGTCCCTAATATATAAGCAAAGAAATTTGTGTACAAATGTATGTTAACATTTGTTTTGCAACAGATATCAATCATATTTCTAAAAATGAATAGACATATTTCAATTTACCCAGAGTATTTTATGCGGAGCACTTCAAAAAGGTTTCCAGCACTTAAAGTGAATGGCATTTAATATAGAACAACATAACAGGGGTGAGGGCTAGATGTGACCTTATTCAAATGTCGTAGCCATTACAAAGCCATTCTCGATGTAATTATAATTAAATACTTTATGCCTTTCTTGCAAATCCTCTGATCGATCATTGATATTAACATTAATATTGTATTAACCCCCGAGCAAATGTCTCCTACACAAGTGATATGGATCACCAGGTTTCCATTAACAAACTTGTGCTATTGCCATATGCTAGTTGTGGATACATTTACGTAAATTGCCTTTTCACAGGGAGAAAATGCCCAGTTATTTTCCGCACACACAGTCCAATGCTGTTGCTTCAGCTCTCCCATCACCAGCCTGTCAATGATGTACATAGACTCATAGGGACCATCCTGATCATCTAGTTTAACATGCACATTGCAAGCCTCAGAACCTCGCCCACCTGCTGTTGTAATAGACCGATAACCTCTGCCTGGCTGACCTCAAGTCCCAGAGAATTCACTATTTCCAAGAGTTTAAAGCACGAATGACCCAGGCCTCATGTTACAGAAGAAAGTAAAGTGATAGAGACCCCCCCCCCCCCCCCCAACAAGTCAAAGGATACATAGGTTGAACCTCTCTAGTCTGCCATCCTCAGAACCTGGCTGGTTCCAAACCAGAGAAGTTTTGGACCACAGGAGGTCAATATTGTCTAGCAGCATTATCAACACTTCCATTGCTTACTGGGCTGTTAGAGAACATCAAGGGGTAAATTAGAGCTAAACCACAGCACAGAACACTGACAGCTAGGACTGGTGTCTGTAAACAACCTTATGGGACTATGGGAAATTTGGCCACCCCCATGAAAAGGGAACATCCGGCTAATTAAAATAATTCCAGACCATGAATGCTTCTGGATCAGAGAGTTCTGGACTAGAAAGGTTCAACCATACTCCAGTTTTAGCTCTGTGTAACCAAGAGCAGAACTTGGTACCCAGGTTCACCCCCACCAGCGAACAGGAGGTCTCCCAGGAGCAGCTGCAAGGTAGAGGGTAGAAGCATCATGGTGATGTGGGGAGTAGCAGCTGAACTGCTGCTGCCCAGCTGCAAACTTTACAAGGAACTTAGGGGAACTAATGGCGGCTGCCAGCCCAGCCTGGTTCAAAACCTCCACAAGGGCAGACTGCTTTTCCAGAACATCTTGCAAGTAGTGGACAAAGCAGGCAGCTGAACGAGGTTATTTGGGAGCACTTTGTAACTTTAAACGTGCATGCGCTCTACTAGATAAGGAACATAACAAAACATTAACCAGGATGTTACGCGAGGAGTTACTGCAGTGACACTGAAACATTTTTTAAAGAGGACACGCTGAGCTCCCTTGCCCCTGCCCACTCCCACCCCTACCTGAGGCCGAGTGCAAAGCCCCAGCACACAGAGCTAGCAGCTGGCACCCCAGGCAGTAGCTTTTTGACTGCTGGTCCATGCCAGGAGCTCTAACTAGGACCCCAGCATGTGGGGCTGGCAGCAGAGCTCCTGGCGGGAAGGGCAGTGGCCAAGAATCAAGCACGTGGGGCTGACTGCCTAAAACCTAGTGCACGGAGTGGTAGCCAGGACTCCAGGTGCCAGTCTGGAGGTTTGGGGGTCCTGCCGTACCCTTCGCACCACTGGCTCCCACTCCAATGAATTACTGTCTTCCAAAACCTGGAGAACCTCAGACACTCCCTATGCAGGCAAAGTTCACTCAAAGAGCATAATCATTTCGTGCTTATTCAATTTCACTACATTTAAGGCAAGGTAGAGCCAAGTGCAAAGGAACATTCATTCTAATTTCTTTATACAGAGCATTAATGTGGAATAATACATGAAGCTGTGCATGTTACTCCCTGGGCATTGCATTTCGAGAGGAATCAGTCCTTCAATCAACCCTTAACTGAGAGAACTTTTAGGATTTGTCCCACTGAGATGTTCAGCCATTAATTAAAAGGAATGGCTAAAGGGCTAGAACGAGGGATGCTGGTTCGATGACTCTCAGTACCCTGACTATAAAAATTGTTCCAGCCCCCCTAAAGGATGAACCTGCCTATATGAGCCAGCTGGCTTGTTTCCATCCTGAAGTTATTTGTGTTCCAAAAGGTCCTAAATTTATAGTTGTGATGGTCTTCCTTGGCCCGATATGGCGTACGGCACATGGTGTTACTATTATGGAATGCATGCTATAAAGGGAAAACAAGGAATGAGTTTATCTTTCAAATGAAGATCCTGGAATCTTTCAAGATAAACATTCTAAATTAGAATCAAAACATGCCACGTTTCTCACCATAGCCATGAAACTAAAAAGAAGCACACGCAGAACACGGTCGGCCCCGATAGGGGACAGAGGATGTAACAGCTCTGACCAACTTTCCATTAGTTCTGGGCCATTCTGTGTTCACATTTTCATGGGAGAGCAGCAAAATTCACTGTGTGGGGCTGTGAAAGACTTCTTGTCCCTATTGAGTGGTCATTATTTCTAAGAGTTAAGAGAAGACTGTAGGACAGAGTAATTTTATTGCTGGTGAAGAACAGAGGTGAAACCTCCACTCTTTCTTAGTCTTGGTTTACGCTATGTACAAAATTCCTCTTCCTGCTTTGAGTAGAGTAAGGATGGATATTGGGGACTAAAGCAGCAAGTAAGTTTCATAGTATAACCATATCATACCTTTATGATCACAGCAAACAACTGCTCTGATTTCTAGTTCCCAGCACTCACCCCCCCCCCCCCCCCCCTAAATCTTTTATCCGAACAAGTGGTTGGTCTGTGAATCAAACTCACTGCCTCTCCCACTAAATGGTATGAGAGTCACTCAATCTCCCGAGGTCTAGAATCTATATAATTGCTAGTACAGGGACACTATGAAATCCAGAAAAAAACACTAGAATTAAATTAACTTCCCACTTGTCCTGTGTCTAAACTGCAAATGAGGGGTGTGATTTCTGCTGCTCATGTACACATACTTGGGCTCACTCTCACTGAGTTAGCATGAGTATAAAATAGCAGGGTTATTGTGGTCACACATGTAGCCACAGAAGAAGCACGGCAGCCTGAAACCAGTGGATATGTGTTTGGCATGGCTCATCTGTGCTTCTGTTGCTGCTACCTATGCTACCGCAGCTATATTGCTATTGGCACGCCTGCTAGCTTGTAGCTCATAGAGCTAGCATGACTACAGCTTTGTCTACCCTGGCACATATAAGCGCTGTTAGTTACAGCACTGCTCCCAGAACGCAGCAGTGGAACATCTGTTGTGTGTCCACAGTGTCAGCTGGCAGCGCGGTAGCATGACTGTACCTGTGACACCTGCTGCAGCATTTAGAGCAGTGCACCATGGGCAAGCAATCCTACAGAGTACCCCTTCCTCTTCTGCTGCTGAGGCTTGTGGGAAGGCAGAGAGTGGTCGTGGGCCGTCTTGGGTCTTGTTCCAATGTCCGACAGTGCATTGCTTCGCATCCCAGACGTATGTGCTTCCATCTGCATTTGGTACCATCTTTCAATGGCTTTTGTGCTTCGCACTCTGCCTCCTTGGTCTGCAGGAGTGGGTCCTGAACTGGTGAAGAAAATGCTGATAGGTCTCACTACCATGTCAATTACAGTATTTGAGTTACTCCGTGAGCTGCAAAGTGACGATGAGGAGTAAAGCTGATCTTGCCATGTATAGAACCTATGACACGAGATTTCTTGTGGCATTCATGGAGGTACTGACCAGAGTGGAATGCCACTTTTGGGCTCATGAAACAAGCACTGAGTGGTGGGATTGCATCATCGTGCAAGTCCGGGATGATAAACAGAACTTTCGGATGAGGAAAGCCACTTTCATTGGTCTGTGTGATAAGCTCGCCCCCACCTGGCAGTGCAAGGACACTGGAATGAGAACTGCCTATCCAGTAGTAAACACACTGTGGAAGCTGGTTACTCCAGATTGCTACTGATTGGTCACCAATCACTTTGGAGTGGGAAAGTCAACGATTTGACTCATGTTGATGGAAGTCTGCAGAGCCATCAATTGCCTCCTCTGAAAAAAACCATGACTCTGGGGAACATGCATGAAATTGTGGATGGCTTTGTAGAGTTGGGCTTACCTAACTGCACAGCGGCAATAGAGGACATACAGCACATTCCAGTTCTGACATCAGAACACCTAGCCTCTGAGTACATTAATCAGAAGGGACATTTCTCCATGGTTCTCCAGATGCTTGTGGATCACTGTGGGTGTTTCATGGACATTAACACTGGCTGATCTAGAAAGGTGTATGGCACAGGTATCTTTCAAAAACACTGGCCTGTTCAGGAAGCTGCAAGCTGAGACTTCTTCTTGGACTAGATCACTATAGCGGAAGTATCCATTGTGATCTCCATTGAGATCCTAGGAGATCCTGCCTACCCTTTAATGCCATGGCTCTTGAAGCCATACACTGGGAACCTTGAGAGCACCAAGAAGTGATTTCTCAGGCTGAGCAGGTGCAGAATGACAGTGGAGTCTGCTTTTAGCAATTTAAAAGCCCGCTGGTGATGTTTGCATGGGAAGCTGGACGTAGCTAATGACATTTCTATGTTTATAGCCATGTACTCAGGAGCGGCCCGAGGTGGGCTGCAGGAGCTGGCGCCCCAGGCGGGCTGCGGGAGCTGGGGTCAGAACCCCCGCCTGCACGACCGTCAATGGAATGATGTCATCATCAGGTGCCCCAGGCATCTCGTGATGTCATCATCAGGCGCCCCAGGTGCCCCGTTGAAGGCGGCGCCCTAGGCGATGGCCAAGTCAG